AGGAAAACATTATTATTTATAATTGGAGTTCCTTCTACTTGAAGTATTGTTTTTAACTATATATATCCAAAGGACGTAGCCATATTAATGTGGGAAAGCTGATGTACAGTTGAAGGCTAAAAGATGAAGCATAGCTCAAAACGTAAAGTCACTAGCAGGAAACATCAAATGAAACCTGAAGCTAAAGGAAGTCCATTGAAATGGGAAAACAGAAGCAATATTCAGGTAAACACTGAAGCTATCTCTAATAAACTCTCATGTATCACCAGAAGTGAACATTGGGTGGAAGGCATAGATGTCAATAGATTAGAAGAACTTGGCTGCAGAATGGGAAGACAACATAATGGCCTGGGGAAAGGAGGGAAGTGGGCATAGAACTACTAGGGTGAGGTCAGAGCAACTGGGAAAGCCACAGGCATAAATCTTCTTGATTGCTGCCTCCGCTGGGCGACAGCTCATTGCTAGAGAAAAGTCAAGCTTAAGTGAGACTGACAGGCAACAGGAAACAAATAGATGGTCAACAGTGCGAAGACTATGAAAGAGGAGACTTTAAAAAATGAGTAAAAATGATTAAGAGCTGGAGAAAATGTGAAGAGAAGCAAAGAAGAGAAAAACAATGAGCAGCAACAACCAAAGGAGAATGCAAAGTAGCAGAGAATGGAGAAGTATCCACCTTGTTAGAAAGACTTCAGAAGTACCTAAGAAAGGTAGAATCCATCACACAGCTTTATGTAAGGGATGGCTTCTTTCCTTTATGCATTTGACCATTTCTTCTGGCCAGGTAAATCAACGGTTCTGCTGCTAACAGCCATGATTCTGTAGCATGCAATGTTTTTCTGTTTAAGTTGCTGAGATAATGCAACATTGAAAAATTCTGTTGTTTCCCCCTTTTTTTAACTGTGAATTTTGGTATCTGTTTTTAATAGGAAAAAATCTGAAAATGGAACTCTTAAAACATAAAAAAAAAAGGAAAAGCAAATTGACCTATACAAAATAAACTGTTGCTAAAAATGTTTTTCAGGAGTAAACCTTGATTATGGAAGTGAATCAGGGTTTTTTAACCACTTCCAAGTTGTTAGTATTAAGTGCATCTGAAGGTGCAGCATGACCTACAAGTGCTATAGGGCACCTTTCTCTTGCTGTGAAAAAGTAGCAAACTTTGGCAAGTGCTTTCTGTATAAGGACACAAATTACATTTAGGAACAGGTATTGGCATTACATTTTTACTTTTGTTTGTCATGTTTTGTTACAATAATAAGACATGATGAGTGTCCACTTAGATACGATTTTTTCTTTCCAGTGACTATAAAGAGAACTCAAACTGGCTCAGAACAGATACTTACATTTTCTCAAACCCTGTTAAATGCTGGGATTCATCCAACCTATCTTAGGTTTTCTCAAAGTCAGGCTAGGTAGAGTGAATATCACAGTCCATTGTCCATTCAGATAAACTCCAGAGAAAAGGATGTAGAAAGACAGTATTAAAAACACAATGTCTTTGTGAAAGTGTCAGAGGAAAATTTTTACAATTGTTATTGAAATACATTTTTTTAAAAGGTTTGAAAGTGCATAAGTGCCTAAACATATTCATCTGCTGTAAAACCTACCCGATGCCATTGGCCTTTTGAGTGTTGTATGGAAGAAGTGTAAAATTTAGAAAGGAATTTGGTGGATCAAAAGGAACTACCAGTACCAATGAAAGGTGAATATCTTATTAGGGAAGAGGCAAATTTTATCTTTGGTAAACAACCATTCAATAAGCTTGCAAAGGTACTGTTTGTCAGCTGTTTGCCAGCTGCCGCTCTTCAGTACATTCACTAAATGTAACTGGGTCTCAGCCACATTTAAATCTGAATTCTACAAGGATGCAGGGCTTCACACAGATCCACATGCAATGCTGTGTTGACATCCTGCATTCTCTATACGATGCTGAATAGGCAAGATGGTTTACTCCTGGGGTATTTAGTGCACTTAATCTTTTACCTGGGATTCCGGTTCTTTGATGCTTTTGTCAAAAACAAAACAAAAAGCCTCATGGTTCTGGCTGTAGCATAAAAAAAGTATGCCATGTAACAACTGATAGCCTAGTCACAATGCCTTTTTAAGACAAGGAATGAATAGACATGTGTCATATGTATATATGTGAGCAATGTGAAATGCCACCTACCCACTCAAAGTCATTTTATTGTGTTATTTCCACAAATATAAATAGCTTTTTATCAACCACCTGGTTCTTTTTTGTGACATGCTCTCTTTGTCTCATCAGAAGCTTGTTGTATGTGGGTGAAGAAACAATGAATATATCCCAAAACCCCATTCTTTTATCAATAATTTCCAGTTATCGTTACACAATGATTTGAATTTTGTGAATATGGCCACACAGGATCAATTCAATTAAGCCAAAAGTACAAAGGGAAAATCTGACTGCAAGCCTCTGTGCAAATGGTGAACCCAGTAATTATATATAGCCACCTATTGTGCTAGCATAATAACATGTGAAGAAGGTTTAGTTAGACACATTTACACACATAAAAAGCAATATGGGCATAGAAAAAGTCATTTTTGCCAAAAGTATAGAACAGTCACACAGTAACAAATGAAAGCTGCATGAATCCTAGTTTACTTGGCTATAAATAAATCCAACATTTTCTTTCTCTCCATGGTAAAATAAAATAGGAGCACAGAAGCATAACAGTCTCCTTTGAGCAACCAGTCTCTTTTTGTTCAATTATAGTCATCAATCTGTTCCACCTAAAATATTTTCCTCCTTGAGAAACCGAAGAAATCAGTATCAGGATCCAAAACATGCTGCTGCAAAAATAATGTAAAAGAGGTCTTTCCTTTTGGTGAAAACATTTGTTCTCAAATGCTGTATTTTCTTTAACACAAACTTTGTGATTCAGGTGAAAAAAAAAAAACAAAAACAAAAAAACCCGCTGCATCTATATGGCACTTTTAATCAGAAAATCTTGAAGAGCTTCGCAAGGAAAGGTAAGGGTTACCTTCATTGTACAGACAGAGAAAATTACAATAAAAAGAGCTTAAACCTTTGGGTTTTTTCTTCCCCCTCTCCAAATATGTTTTCTATGTATATTCCTCTTAGATGTCCAACTGGAAGCCTTTAAATCCCAATATTCAGAAATGCTAAACAGAGAGTTGTACAAGTACCCTTTCTCTCAACAGTGACTGTGTCAGATTCTGCAGCCCTGGGAAACATTCGCCTGTGCATTATCCCCCAGCAAACTGGAACTCAGGGAAGAAACAGATTCAAATCTCCTACTTCACGCTGCGTGCTCTGACAAATCTTACATAGGAAGGCTAAGGTTTTCCCATTACTTGAAATCACTAGATCCAGTTTAGATGTTGTCTCCTATAAATATGCAAGCTATAATTTCACCAACATCGCTGTTAGTGCTTGATGTGAGGATCATTTAATAAAATTGTATAGCTTGTGTTACCTACAAGATAATACAGAATAAAACATATTATGTCTTCTGGCCTGAAAAAAACTATAAATCTCTGCCTACAAGAACACAAGAGAATCAACGATAATGAATTATCTTGGGGGTAACACAACAAACTTCTGACTAAGGCTTTTTCATCTTCCTGAGATGTGATACTAGCTACCAGATTGCACTGTCTCTTCCTTTACCCTGTGTGCCACTGAATCATCAAAGCACATAAAGTAAAGCCAATTTGATTTAGCTAAATAGGAAAAAGTCCAAATCCTCTTCTTCACACGGTAGCTCTGTGCAGACATCAAAAGAGAGCAGAGCACTGTCCACCTGTGCACATTTGAAGAATTATAGAGAATTATTTTAAAGATGAAAAACCAAGGTCCCAAACCAATACAATCTGTGGTGCAAAAATAGTTTCAGGCTAAGTTCTTTTTGCTCAAAATCCCATCATAAACACCAGGAACTTAACGAGGACAGAAACCAATCATTTCAGCCACAGAGTTGGTTCCAAAATAGTTCAAAATGTGCATTTGGTATCCAGGAAAGCACTACGGGGAAATTAAATAACCCATAAATATTCCAGCTGAACTTTAATAACTATATAAGCCATCCTAGGTTGGAGGAGGAGGGAATGTTTTGAAGTAAATTTCTTGTATCTTTTTTTCTTTCTGAGATGACCATTTTTAAAGTGCAAAATAACTACAGTTTTTTCCTATTTATTCATCACTCCTGTATGGTGAGTTTATCCTCAGTTCAAAGCATTACTGTAGGGGATCATTTCTACTGCGCTAAAAAAAGAATAGCTTGATCACAGGCATTTAAATGTCCTCCAAGATTTAAATATGAAGTAACCTTTAAAACATTGGTTAGTTTTTCTTACATCATGCATCAGGTATTCACTTCATATTTTCTTTTAAGGCATTTCTTCAGAAGCCAGATCTTGCAATTCATGTTCAGTTTAAGATCTTTGTTCAATGTATAAAAGATTAGTTTTACCATCCTCTCTTAAAGCCCGCAGTATACTGTAGCAGATTCAATGGTCTGTAATTTTTATCAACAAGCAAATCGTCCTTTCAGAAACCTAAATCAGAGAATTCCTTTTTTTCACTCAGCATGCAGACAGCTAAAGCCCTTTTTTCCCCTGGGGTGATGTGTTAGTTTGATTTTATTTTCCCTGACATTTCACCTGTCAGATTATGATAAGTAGAAGAAACAAAGAATAATCATCACATTCTCACTGAATCTCATAATAAACTATCTGGAAATAGAAGATAAATTAGAAACATCCTGAGGGAAAACATGAACACTGAAAACACCCTCAGATATCCAAATCATCTTCCAGTGACCTAGGACTCCAATACATTTTTTAAAAATTCAAAAAGGAAGCCTGCACAGGACTGCCACATCTACTTTTTTAATCTTCAAATACTAGGGAAAGACCTAGAAAGATATAAGAAGAAAAAAAAAAGTTGCAGAGTTAAGAAAATCTATTTAACTTGCTCAGTCTCACCATGTTGAGATTCGTAAGTGATGAAAACTTACCTGCTTGACCGGTGGTAATACTGACAGCTGCAAAAAGCCTCTGGGAACGACTCAAGTCAGAAACCCCATTCACAGCTTCAACTTCAAACGTGTAGTTAGCGTGAGCTAGCAGGTCTATGACAGTGACATAGTTATCTACTAATCCAGTTTGCTGGGGCATATATCCTATGTTACTCCCACAGGGAACACATTCACCCTGCTCCCAGCTGCACCTCTTGCACAAAACGCGGTAGGTCACATCATTTCTTCCCCCGTTGTCAGCAGGAGGACTCCACTCCAAGCTCACGGTAGTCTGGTTGATATTGAAAATGAGGTTCTGTGGTGCAGATGGAGGCCCTGTGTAACACACAAGAAGTCCAGGGTAATTGCACAGAACCAAGGTGGGCCATGTAGCCAGCAGTTTAATTACTGAGACAGAAAACAGTTCCAGCACTCTTCTTCACATAAACATTTCATTATTTTTACTACAAGCTGCATAAAAGCTTCCCTGAACGCACTTGGCAAGAGCTTTATTTATTTTCCATTAAGGCATCAGAATAACAATTGCCTGCATATTTACTGCAACTGACTTCAGTCATTTCTCTTCTGTGCAATTAAAAGGATTGGTTAATGCACCTTAAAGGTTGTCTTTTATAGTTTTCCCAAGTATGGGATTTTTTTGTCTCTTCTAAACATACTGCACCAATCGCATCGAGTCCTTTTTTTATCAGCGCTGATATGTTTTATAGAGATATTGATGCTGCTTTGGATTTAGGAGACTTCCACTATTTGAACCACCTATCTGTGTAGGCTAGTCTATTTGCAGTCAGAAGGTTAAGCCAGATCCAATTACAGTTCAATCCAAGCTCAGATACCACACAGGTTACTTTTCATTTTTCATGTTACTCACTTTGGTATTGTATCACATAAAGCACTTGGTCAACAGCAATTCTACAGCCATGGGAAAACTATGGTTGTATCCAATCTCTTACAATGAGTTACACATTTACCCAACATGCAGTGTTTTCCAATGTTGTATCAAGCAAACATGAAAATTACATTTGTGCTGATTCTATATTCACTGTCAACTTTTTTTCCCCTCTGCCTTTCAATTTCATTTACTGTTGTAAATGTACTTTTCAAATACAGGAAAAGCCAGCCGAAACTACGAGATACAAGTGGCTGCACTTGGTTGGTTAAGCAATGTCCTTTACTATTAAATTCATGACTGACTCACTTGTGCATGCGACATATGGTGGATCAGAAGGTGCTCTATAATAGCTATCTTCACAGTCGCATCTTGAAGATCCTTCCTTGTCAGAAAAGCTGTGAGTAGGGCAGCGGGAGCACTGCAGATCTTGTGAGGAGGATTTGTAGAACCCACGGTTACAAGCTAAGGCAGAAAAAAGCAAATTAAGGTTTAGATTTGCATGGATTCTTCTGATATTTTTACTGTCACATGAGGTACACATTCCTGTAAACATCTATCTGAACTATTCATTCCATTATGCTGGCACAAGCCAAAAGAAAACACAATCTCTTCAGTTGATGCTGTTAATTATTATGTGGCATTTTTGTGAGCTCAAGCATACATTAGGAATACCTCAGCAGTTGGCAGCACAATATTTTAACACAGAGGGCTACAGGAATATAACAAGCATCTGTTTTTCACCAAAGAAGAGTAAAATAGCAGTGTGAAACAGCTGGATGCCCACAATATGACTAAACAAGGGAAAAGCAGTCTGGAACAGCTCTGCTGTGAGGCCACTCAAGTGTTTCCGGTATCTGAACTAGCTGATTTGGAATTAATGGAGCAAAGGTGACTCTTCTCTGATCTGAGAAACCCAGAGAAGCTGTAACCCACCAGTGAACCCTGATCCCAAGGAAAGAATGAGGTGTGATCACTTGTTGGACAGATGATGCTGGTAGGAAAAAGCAGAAACAGGAGGAGGGCAGACATTGCAAGCTGCACAATTGGATTTTCTAGTTTCACAGGGAGGACAACTAGGCTTCAGTGAATTTACTAAAACCTTCAAGGGGAAGTTAAAAGATAGATAGTTGGAAATAAGCATATAAGATCATTTCAGACTTTGGTTTGCCCACTGTGAACTCATGAAACTAAAAAATGTGTTGTGTTACAAACCTGATGTTTGGAAATACTTGTATCGGCTACTGTTAACAGTTCCCAAAACAGAAACACCCATAAAGCAAATCTATCATGATTCTTACAAGCAAATAACTGCAACCTAGACAGCCAGCTTAAGAATGGGTAGCTACAAGAGGTGTAAGGGATGAGGAAGAAGGAAGTAGGCATCAGACAACACTAACAGTGAAAACAGATTAGGACTCCATTTCAGTACTGAGGTTATGGGCAAACTTACCAACGCTGCCAACATGAGAAACAGAACTTTGTAATAAAGCAGAAGTTTTTTTCAAACACACTATTTTATTCTCTTTTACCAACCCTGGCAAACAGTCTAAACTTCTTAAGCCGTCACCCATATGCAAAGAAAAGGGACAGAGGGTGAAACTGAGTATTAGATATCAAAACATTAAAGCTTGTTAAACAGTCATTCTGAATTCAGAGAGAGAGAATTTACTTTGGTTATATTCTTATTTGCTTGGATATTTTCTCAGAATAGAAATGCAAAGTATCCAAAGACACTGATATTTGCAACAGTTATTTCAGTTGTCTGGTATTGCAGTGATGGAAAGAGCATGAAAACAATGAGCTTTATCCAAATCTCAGTGAAGTCAGTGAGGAGTGTCTTTGACTTAAACAACCTTTGGACTGGACCCACAGCGTAGCTACAGCAACATGACACTTACTGTACTTTATATTATATATTATATTATGTATTATCTAATGAGTTTTGTGCAACTGAGAAAAAAAAATAAATTGTGGTAATACTTAAGATAACAGTAGATTAAAGTTGATAAATTAGGTAAATCAACAGTGGATCATATCAATATAAAATGATAGGAAATGGTGACTTTCTGTTACTGTCTCAACATATTAAATTTCTAAAGAAAAATATGCCTGAAGGAGAGAAATCACCATAACATTTAGGAAAAAAAACAGTGGATGGAGGCTAAATTACCTGGCAGAGAAATAAGCATGCAAAGCATGTATCCTTTGACTTTGACAAAGAGGCACCAGTTTACATTAGAAGAAAATCTAGCTCTGCTTGATTCTACCACTGCAGATGTTATATATGCTATTTAGAAAAGAAGACAAAGAATTTTAGAGAAACACTTTGGATAAACATGACCCATGAATTCATAGTTGTGGCAAATTTCACTCCGAATTATCCTTTTACACATTCATTCAGGATTCTTTCAGAATTTCCTGACCAAAGGCAAAGAGCACAAAAGCTGCACTGATTTGTATGCGTATACCTTAAAACATATATTTAAACTTCTGTCTGCTCTTTCAGGACTTGCAACTGAAAGGTAGCTAAAATGACCAAATAATAGTTTCCTGCCTTTCTTAAATAGTCATGCTCCTCTCATACTGAGCAAAACACTGGACAAATACACCAGGTCTTCCAGCACGCAGCCTCTGCAAAGCAAAGAGCAACTTAAGAAGCAAAGATCCCTACTGTGCTTCCAGTCTGTCCTTCTCAGCAGGGAGCATTGCAAAGCAAAGAAGCTGAGAGTAAAACAGAGATTTCAGACAGAAATAACAAAATGTAAACAGAAAACCCCTGTTCACTTTTTTTTTCTGATGACTTGATCAAGACATTTATATGCTTAGTCACTTACTATTTAAAGTAAGTGTGCATTTCTTATTAGAGTTCAAAGGATCTGAATGTCTGTGACTAGTTTACATGACTGAAAGCCATTTATTCTCCTGCACAGCATACCACAGGCAGCAGGTTCAGGCACTCATACCGTGCAACCATTCCATTAGCTTTTTTTTCCATTAAGAGGCTTGTGACAACATTTAATAACCATCCCTTCAACTTATACACCCCATAAATACAAGGGTCAGAATACTCCAACAATGAAATTTTTAATGGTATGAAAAGAGTGCTTTCAAAAAGGATTTTTAAAAACTTTATTGTTCTTTAGAAAGAAGGGTACACAGGGGTGTACATCATAATTAACAGTACTCATTGCAATAATGCAATTAAACTTATTTTCAATTTTTCTTCCTAAATTTAAATCCATAAAAAAGTAGACTGCTTCTATTGCTCAAAAATCAAGGAGCTATGAATCTTCACATGTTTTTAACATACAGAATTCCCAGAAACATAAATAAAAACTGTACCATGACATACTGTTGCATGCACCACTTATTAAGGTGTGAGGACTTGCCAGTGATCTGTTGCAGATCACAGATGGGAAAGAACCATCCAATAATACTTCGACTTATTTTTTTCCTGCCCTATTGTCATGGTGATTTATTTTTTTTATATTGAAAGTAATTTAAATAAATTGTTACATTCTAATTTATTTTTAATCCACTGATTTTTATTCAATTTAATTATTTCTGAACTACTTTTAAGGTCACAGGGACAAGTGGTATAAAATACTCACTTCCGATCCACTGTGAACAACAGAAAAACAACCCCAATGCATTAACCAAACATTACATGGAGCTCTATGCATGCAAATCTAAAGGTGATAAATACAAGTGCTGTTCCGCAAAAGTAGATCATGGCAAAGCTTGAAGCAACTCAAATTGAATATGATCACATCCATTTTAATATTTCAGCTCATTAGTGCAGGAGAGCACACAGCAGCAGCATTTCTTCCCCATAAAAGAGTCCATATTGTAAATCAAGGTATAGAACTCAAGCAACAATGGGAGGTATGCAGAAGTGTATAACTGGTGAGGCAGCACTCTAGTGTTGTAGCCATAACCTCCTTATTGTTGAACCGAATAAAATGGGAATTCATTTCATCTTAATCAAGCAAGTTAAGATCCAGGAGCAGTTTTGCTACTGAAAGGATTCTGGAGTACTGGAAAAGATGAGGGGGATGGGAGGAAGGGAAGAAAGCCAGCACAAAATAAATTTACTGCCATTAACTGTTGTGTGTCATTTACAGCTGCTAATTTAATGAAACAGTTCTTCCCAGATAAAGCTCCTATTTTGTTCAAACAGCTGTTGTGAAGTTTTCCGCATTCCAAGAAAGGGTTTCAAACCAAGAGCAGTCAACTTCACTGTCAGCACAAGGATGCAGAATAACACCAATCAACCTAACTTAAACCAGTCTTTAAGTAAAGCAAAAACTAGTTGCTAGTTCTTTCCCCATGGACTACAAAACAAACAATGCAGAAGTTATGCTTCAGCCAAGAAACAATTATTTGCTTAATATTTTAGTCTCACAGCTGTTAGAGACTGAACAGCAGTAAGGTACCCCAGGTAGCCCAGGGCTACCTGGTACCTTGGATTTACTTGTCTGCAATGGCTGCTTCTCAGAGCAAATCTTCCCACCTCCTCTGTGAACCAAAGGGGTTTCTCTTCTCAAGAAGGTGGCAGAGTTCCATCATGAAAGAAAAAGATGATGCAAACAGCCCGTGGATGAGCAAGCCTCCATACACCATAGAGCTGTGGTTTGAAACCCAGCAGGGCATTGTTGCTTCATATTTAAACTTCCTTGCCTGGAAACTGTAGATCAAAAGGTACACTATTCCATCTGTATACAATGAAAGACCCTGGTGAAGATTACACTAGCAGTCTTTCTCAGCTTGGACCAAATTGCTTTGTTCTTGGTACACCCAGTTGTAATGAAGACATTCCATGACAGCAGGATCAGGTACATGACTGGGCAAGGCTGCAGCGGCAGTGCACGGTACTCACCCGAATACACATTTAGCATATGCCACTGCTCGCAGAGCAATCCCAAACATTCTGAGCCAATGTCTTTGGTATTGTTTAAGGGCCTATAAAAATACTGCAAATAATTCACCCTGCAAATCCACAAGTAAATACTGAGGAATTAACACACACTACTAAGAATTATGATGCCACATCTGCAGCACAACAAGGCATTAGTTGTCATAAATTGAGATGCAGATTGCAGCTTATGTAGAAAAATAGCAGCTTCTCTATGTGAGCTCATCACATGCCTTAGAGGCCTGGTAGAGATCAAATAATGTATACTCTTCTTTTCATATTAATAAAAAGAAAATTCCAAGTGACTCTGGAAGGAGGAACAAAGGCAAATGTAGAGAGCTGCATACAGCAGTCGGGAGACCCATTTGTGGGCTAGGAAAAAGGAAAAAAGGGATGTGTTAAGTACTGCTCAATTGTATGTAAACTTTTAACTATAAATAATACAGATATTCATTTTACTTCTAGGAGAGCTAGGGAACTTAAACTGGGAGGGATGATGGAAACATGGTAAGGGCTACGAGTGATATGCCTAACAACCAACGTTTAT